TATTCATGCAGTTAATGACCTGAGTACTTCAATTCCAGTGCAAAAACGCACGATCACATGGGCCCGCCCGTTGCGTTCCAGCCTGGGTTTAAAATGGGTTAGAAGGAAGGCTAGTTTTCCTTCGAGAACTCCAGTAACTGATGTAGAACTAATATATGGTCAGTTGTTTTGTGGCTATTTTGAAATTTAATCTATTTTCTCGACTGTTATTCACTGCCCGATTTTGGTAGTCGGCAGCAATCATTAAGATTGCCTTGACCGGCGAGGTAGGTTATCGGACTACAGTTTTCCAAGACCTTCCTCACCACCTTTCTTATACAGCAGGACGACTTTTTGGTCTCCTTCCAGCTGCTGCATCTCGCCTTCACACTCAATTCCTGACAAAACCAAACTGCAAAAAACCTCCTGCTCCGACGAAGCTGATGCTATTACCGCCTTCCCGCTTTTCGTTTGGCAGTTTTGTGTGTTTTGCCTCACTAACGAGCACGGACAGAAAAATCGCTACTTGATGACATTCTCTTGCTCGTTTTAGCCATTTATTTCGAATGATAAGCACCTGCGGGCAGTTCCAAAGAAAAAAGCCACTAAACCAAGCCCTACAAAATTTTTTCGTTCCTTAACCGTTCAAAGTACTTTTGCTAAGAATGTCATCCCGCTTCTTACTCACAACTAAAAGATGGAAAATTACCTCGAAAAATGCTGTGCTCGTAAAGGTATATTTATTTAAGAAGACATCTTCTGCCAATTAAAAAATCATCTCTCCTCAAGAGCCTTTCTAGAAGCTTTGAAAAATTATTTCGAAACATGAATTAAGAAGTTCTAAACTTCGTCAAGTTCGAACAAGAATTTTCAGGGTTAAAGGGCCAAAACAGGTCCTGCTTAAACTCGCGCGATTGGCGCATTTTTATACTTCAAAACTAACGTTCTGTGTCAATCGTGTTATGGTCTCTGAACAATCGCATGCTGAGCCACGAGAGATTTTTCGAGACAAATTATCTCGTCGGCAGCTCAGCTGATTTACTTCGAATCATACTGCCTATCAATCACATATGGTCAACGCAAAACTGCACTGTAGTATCGTTAGTGGCTTCACACCAAGTGCCCAGACAATTCTGGAAGATAGATGTGCGGTTAACTGGAAGATCGATGTGTGGTTCTTGTGAATGGTGATCGATGTAACCACAAATCCATGTGCAGCAAAACGTTGCAGTGCGCCCCTGCTCTCGCTTCTCCAACCATCTTTTAACGTTACGGGTTCAGCGAGAATGTGCCCTGAAGGGAGCATGCGCTGTCGTAAACCGTTAAACCAATCAGTCGTAATCAGTTGCTCTGACGGCCGCCGATGGTTTGCTCTGTCCAGTTTTGCAGAGTCAAGCAGACTTTCTAAAGAGATGCCCCTCGCGCAAGGACTGCTCTGAACCAATTTTAACCTGCTCTAACGCACATTCCCCAATTTTTAGCTGTTTTTACTGACTCCGGATACTGAAGGAACAAAACGCGTAAATGGCTATGAAGGTCGAAAGAAAAGTTCAGAAACAAATCGATGATATTTGGGAAGGAAGCAGCGAAGAAAGGACAGTGATAATCCAGAACTCGATTGTGCAGTGTAACCAGATTGCTTTTTTTCAGAAAAACTATGCTAAAGTGGCGCCGAAAACCGGAAAGTGTGAGATGGAAGACAAACTATTATTCATTATAATGCTGCTACTCTTGCAGCTGGATACTGAAGGGAGGACTGCCTCGTTAATGTGAACTAGAACCTGAATATCACTTCTCCTTACTGGAAAAGTAGAAATAGAACTTGTAAAAGAATGAGGGGAGAAGCAACGAAGAGGCAACAAACTACAGATGGAGAGCATGAAAAGATGCTACGTTGTAGTGCCCATCTTGTGGCCAGCGGTAGCCCAACGACGGCAGACACAGTCAAGTGAAAAAGAAATTCTGCCGGTTCGACCAGCTGCTCTCAGTTACACTGATTTCAGAAGCGACTTTTACTGGGTCATACTGATTAAATGAAATTCTTCCTGGGCATCCAGAAGCAAGTGTCGCGACTTGTCGCTTGTGCTTTATCACAAGACTTTATGCCATATTGTTTTGTTGTTCGTTTTGTCGCATTTTGCATATTGTATAACCTGTTGTGACTGACAGTGCAGAGCAGAGCAGCGGTAGGCACCCTCCAAGAAAATCGTCTATACAAGGGGAGGAAGACGGTTGAGACCGAGGGCTGCATCCAGCCGCAGGGCACTAGATTCGAGGACGCATCTCCAGCAGATCGCCGAGATCGTCATCGCAGCTGGTCGTCGCCGTCAAGATTGTCGTCGCCGCAGAATTCGTCAAGCCGGGTATTGTGAATCGTACAAGAGGGCAGCAGCAGCCACCGCCTCTTCGCTACCAGTGAATCCGAGTCTTTCTTTGAATTGTATTTTGCGTTTCTAATCTCGTAAATATACTTGTGTAAACATTTTTATTGTTGACCGAGCCAACATAATTGTTGTCGTAGTACCCGTTACATCCCGTTCCCTATATGCTTTCTTGTTCGCACTTTTGGCCTACGGAATTGCATTGTATTGTTCATGAATAAATGAGCAGAAATGCAGGCGTAACGCAGAATCCTTCTATCTCACTAGAAACAACACCTGACTGAAACACAAGTGTTTAACATTTTATCAGGATTAGCAAGGCTGGCCGGACAGCTGGTGTGATATTACTGGGACTGCATGCGATCAACACTACAGTAATAAAAAAAATTGCTATAAGCATGACGACCTTGTAAAATAACAATAAAGATGTCAAAACGCATGCTCCTGAAAAAGGTACAGGAGAAAAGGGAACTCTCTTCTTTTACTATTTCGCTGACTCGAGATGATCGCGAAAAACACGTTCGGTGCTTTGTGTATAGCCACTATTGATCCGCTGCTAGCAGCAAATGGTAAGCAGTGACTAGTAGGTCTGGCCGCAAACCCGGATGTATCAACAGTTTGATATCCACTCAGCATTACAAAGTGAGGAATTTTTATAAGGAATAGGAAATTTGCCAGCAGTTCTATAACAGGTAAAAAGAGGCGCAAACCAGG